AAGAGCGGTAGATTCTTGTGATAATGGCGGACAATAACTATGTCGGTGAGACTTTAGGGTTTATTCTTGTTTTGAAAAAGTCCATTCAAGCATTAATTAATATTAGATGCTTCTTGAAGGTTCCGTTAAGGAATACATTAAGGATTAGGAGGGGTATGATGACTACTAGAGCGGTAGAAAATTTTTGAAAACTAGATTTTGATGAATAGTTGTTAGATTGCTTTCATGTGATGATGGCTTTTTCTTGCTTTTGTTTTAATTCTTCTCTTCTAGTTATTTTCTTCTTCTTTCAATCACTTCCCATTAACTCCAAAGTCTCCTTTGCATGAGATCAATTTCTCCCTTTGAATTTTTGCTTGCGAGAGATAAAAGACAATGAAGGCTTCATGGGAGAGAATAGAAAGAGAATTATAAGGGATCAACAAATTCTTTTTTGGAGAGAGAGAGAGAGAGAGATGAACTGTTGGCGGATTGAGAGAGAAGCAAAACGAATAGTGTAGAAAATTTTGATCCTACTCAAGTTCGTATGAAAAATAATTTAAAAAAGAAGTATTTTTATTGATTTAAGATAGGAAAAAAAATCCTATTTAAATTAAAACCTAAGTTTATGCATTATTTATGGGCATTTTATTATTGGCGCAATTACATGCATAACATATAAAACATTGCTATTTACAAAACTATCACCTACTATTATCAAAATTCATAAGAAAACCATGACCAATATTTTGCCTTTCTATGTAAATACACCAATTCAGTTGTTAGAAAAAAAAAGACAAAAATATATTTTTGTGGTCGGCCTCGATCTCGAGTGTTTGACGACAAACACAGGGACTTTAAGAGTTTTACTTTAGTAGTCAACTTATTATTATCTTCTCCTCCCATATTCATGGGAGTTGACATCTTGCAAGCACCTCCTCCCTCAAACCTGAGATAAATTTCTCTTTTGTAATAGTATCTATGTCTAGTTGTAGCAATTTTCATTTGACTTTTAGGGGTGAACACTTTTTAAAATTCAGCTTGCTCCTTTAACTTTTCCTTTCAGCCTTTTAGCCATCCAATCTATTTTCTACTCCTTAGCTATCCTTGAAGGATTCTCATTCTAGAATAGGATATTGGGTCTCAAGAGGGATTTGAATTTATATCATTTTTTAATTATATATTTTTTACCCCACAACTTATATAGGCTATGGATCTAAAACTCAATCAACTTGCACTCATCTTGATGCACTATGCTCGTGTTCAAACCCTTTATAGCCCTTACCTTTGCATGTCCACATGATGCTTCTCCATGATGATAGTTAAATTTCTATTTCTTTGATTCATTCTCTTAGTGATGCCTTTGCAAAGATTTGTATTTTTATTAATTTTGTTTCAAATTTTTATTCTTGGTTATTGTAGCAATATGACACTACACATGGTATCGTAGTATTTTGAAATTATTCACGAGCATTGTAGTTCAATAGGTTCATCTGGATTTACTAGGGCTTGCATTAAAAGGATCTCTTAAAGTCTGATTGATGTAGATTTTCTTTATTTACTTTTATGTACAATTTAACTAGTATCAATTCTTGATGTAAATTCATAATGTTGATGATTTTAAGTTTTATATGCATTTTGTAATCATTTATTTTAATGATGAATAAATTACAAATTTCTCTCGAAATTTACAACCATATTTTTAAAATATTATTGAAAGTGAATGACCAAATGATTAATAGATTTTTATTACTCCTGAGGCTTATCAATCTCTTTCATTAGTGTGATTCAGATGACCCTATGTTAGGATAGTGATAAAATTTTGGGCAAAAGTTATATGAAAATAAGAGGCCAAACACCCTAGAAATCATATACATAAGATACAAATTTACTTGGTTCATTCAACTCCGCTTCCGGCTACAACCACATATAGATAAAATATTCTATTAAAATTTTAAAAAGAGATGTATCAATATATAAGAGGGAATACTATCACTTACCGTGAAGTTAAAGAATTTGCCATTGTTTAACTAGTTATATATTCACTTAGGAGGAGTCATAGTGTGGGTCATCATACAAACTGAGAAGGAAATATTCAGTTTTGGCGGCTAAACTTAAATTATCACTTAACGTGCATCAAAATATTTCACTTTAAAAACCATAGAGCGAAGGTAAATCTTATTCAATAATGAATAAATTTAAGCTAATATAATGTTTTATTATAATGCAAGCTTGATTTTTAGCAAGTAGAGGATTTGGATTGAATTAAAATTATAAAAGAATTCAAATGCATTCTTCATTATTCAAAAGTAATGAGGGTTGTCTAAGCGGTTTAAAGGATTTGATGATGGGAAAAATAAAAAATGATTTATTTTTAGTTCAAGGGATCAAGCCTCTATGTTTAATTTTATTCTGGATTTAACACTTGAGGGTTGTCTAAGTGGTTTAAAGGATTTGAATGATGGGAAAAATAAAAAAGGATTTATTTTTAGTTCAAGGGATCAAGGTTTATGAGCATAAGTCTCTATGTTTAATTTTATTCTGGATTTAACACTTGATAATACACTCGATCAAAGATGTTTACTTAAATCCTTGTATTCCAATAAAGAAGATGAAGTACACCCAACACAAGGTTTGGAGATCAACTCCATGAGGACAATATGGTTTATAAGGTCAACAAGTGATGAATAGTTATATGGGTTTTGAGTGATAGGGGAATACATAGTCATACTATAAATGTTCAAGGGACCCAAAATTAGAATGAGAAGTTATTTTTTTTGCTCGCATTTGATTTTCTGCTTGTGCAGTTTGTTTGTGATCGATCTCACCCACTTCCTCCCTTCTGGCCTGCTTTCTGTTTGCTTTTGCACAATTACCTGCACACCCTCCGTCTCCCCTTGTAGCGAAGAACAAACTAATTTTGATTTGATAAGCCGGCGTGAGTCGGTCTAGATTCTATTTTTCTTACTGAGCATTACAATTATTGTCTCCTTGGCTTGTACTCAATCTACACGCCATTTTAAATTAGGATGATTTACATATAAATCACTCAAAACTGTACAATTTACATATCCAGCACCCAAACTATATTATTTACATATATCACACCCGTAGACACTTCAGCACCTCAAAATTAACACTCCATTATCTTTTTCTCCAATTTTCAACTTCTGCATTGGAACTGAACATCCACTTAAACCATTTTGGCGATACGTTAATGCTTCTCGAGATGAGAGGTGGCCGAGTAATAGGATTTGCTTCTTGTGACGATAGAGATGCTGCAGCTCATTCTCGAAGCAACACAGGTGCTTCAGCTTCCATCCGATGCAGAATGTGGCGGAATGTGGTGATGCTGGGGATGGAAGGGATGGCGATGGAAGAGGTAGAGGCAATGGTGTTGGAGGGTGATCTCAATGATGACGGAGTTCTTAAGAGGTTGGGTTCTGCATCATGATGGTTCAAAATTGTCGGGGTATGTAGAAAACTGAGGCATGGCTCGAGAAGGCTATTGATTGCAAACTACTTCTTCATGATCATGATGTGGCCACCTAATCCGATGTTTTGATTTCAGTTTGGATGAGTGAACTGCTCTTCCTGATGTCTACTTATTTTCTGTAACTCTATCACGGGAACTCAACATCCGCTTCTCCGCCTCTTTCGGCTTTGTCACCCATTGCTAACATTGCTTCTATTCTTTGTATGTGTGTGTGTGTGTGTGTGAGAGAGAGAGAGAGAGAGAGAGATGTCAGTAAGGTTGATTCTATTACGAAGAGAGGTGGTGGCGAATGCAAGGCAGGACTGAATACAGGTGGTGGCTGCCAAACTGTAACAATCAGTGCCTAAAAGGAGTAGCATTTGCAGCTTGGGGTAACGGAGAGAGGGAAAGGAGGAAAGGTAGCCTAAATTATGATCTATTAAAGTGCTTTTGGATGTTGTATATGTAAATGATAAAGTTTAATTGTTAGATATGTAAATAAGGAAGTTTTGACTGCTAAAGATGTAAATCCCCCTTTAGTTTATTGAATGAAATGGTCATTAATGAACCTCACAATATTTTATTATGTTTTTTTCCCTTCTCATCAATTTCTGATAACTTCCTTTTGGCAATTGTGCAGATTAACCGCTATGTGAGTGTATATGCTGGTTCAGGAGTCCTCCCAAGCAGTCTTTTTCACGGAAACCATGCAGAAGTATGGAGTTCTTCTTAATTAGCTTGAAACATATTTGTAGAAGCTACTTCTGCTGTATTAAAGTACTAAATAGAACATCTGCATGTGGGCTCATTTGCACCAAGAAACACCCAGGGATTGAAGGCTGTTATTTTACTCGCTTATGTTTACTTTTATTTTTTGATTTGTTCTTTTTTTGGGGGCATTTACATAATTCTATTGTATTTACATATCTCACACCTAAACTTAGCATATTTACACATATGGCACTCAAATATGTAATATTACATAAAAAGTAACACTTACCACTTTTTAAAAGTGTTGTACACCTTTTAATGCATAGGTTTAAAGCACCAAAGTGCCGTGTATGTAAATATGAAAGTTTTGGTGTGAGATATGTAAATACATAAGAATTGTTTACTGGTAATGTAAATTTCCCTTTTATTATTATTATTATTTTTTTGCTTATCCAGGCTTTTTTTCATCATTCTGCTGGTCTGCATTCTATATGTCGAGAAGTTGTTTAAATCACCTATTTTAGTGTTTTTTTTTCTTCTGGAATGAAAGACAATTTAAAGTAACCATATTAAACAGTTAAAAGAAGGCTTTTTTTTTTAGTTTTTTTGGGTCAGATTAGTTGTTTGAAGTTTAAACGCTATAGATTCACGGTCAGTGTAATTTGCAATTCTCTTATGCCAGGACAGAAATGGGGACGTGCTGAAAATTTCAGATATACCTGTTGTTTTTTCTGGTTGGATGCCTCTCTGTCTGCTTTGGATAGATATATAAACAGCAGGGTTGATTCTATGATTAATGCGGGCTTGTTAAATGAAGTATCTGACATTTACAAACCAAGCTCGGATTACACTAGAGGCCTGAAGCAAGCAATAGGTGTACGAGAATTTGAGGAGTTTTTTAGAGCTTATTCTCGCCGTAACAATGCATTTTATGCTTCTTCCTTGAATGGAAACATCGATGTTCCAAAGCCAAAATTTGCGGATATTTTGCATTCTAAAGAGAACGAGCTGCAGATTTTATTGTTCGAAGCTATCGAAAAGTTTAAAGCGAACACACGCAAGCTTGTTCGTCGTCAGGTAATTTTCTTGTTTCTCAGATTTACCCATAGATGAAAAATAGCTTCTGATGCTGCTACCTTCTACCAAATATAATGATAATATATCCTTGGGGCATTTACATACATATCACACAATTCTTATGTATTTACATGTCTTACACCTGAACTTTCATAGTTACATATAATCTTTAACATCACATAAAAAAAACGAATATTACTAACTTTTTAATATTGAAGTATATCTTTTTATCCATATATTCATGATCACAAAGTGTTATAAATGTAAGTATTAAACTTTAGTCGTTAGATATTTAAATACAAAGAAATTGTGTGGTATGTTGATTTCCCTATATTCTTTTGCTACCTAATTTACTTTTCTGTTCATGTCTTTCCAAAGAAACGAAGGCTAAATCGTTTGAAGGCGGATTTTGGCTGGAACATGAAATACATTGATGTGACAAAAGCCTTATCCGGTAAGTTTAATAAAACGATTATTTTTTTGGAAGATTTACATACATACCACTCAATTCTTATGTATTTACATATCTAACACCCAAACTGCAATTTTTCACATATATGCCACCTTACCTATGCATGAAAATGTGTATTTCAATTCTTAGAAGTTAAAATAGCATTATTTTTTACACGGCATAAAAGATTTGGGTGGCATAAATGTAAAAGCAAAGTTTAGGTGTTTAGATATGTAAAAACATAAGAATTGTGTGGTATGTATGTAAATTCCCCCTTTTTTATATTTGAATGAATAACTTGTATCTTTGATTTGGCCATCAAATAATTGTTCTGGTTTTTATTCCAGATGAGGCCGGTGATTCGTGGTCCGCGTTGGTTCTTCAACCTTGTGTTGAGAATGTTAGAGCATTCTTACTAGGAGCAGGCTCGTTTACTTCCAATGAAGAGTCACATGATATGCTTTGGCAGCGGCTTACGGCAAGGGAACTCTGCACTCAATATGTTTGTGAGGTTAGCCTTTTTGGTGCAGTTACATATCATAAGCACCATGAATTTGAAAAATGTCATTAGATTTTGGTTTTTATGATATCATAAAGGTGCATTTGGGGCGGGGGTCATTTTTGTCTGCGTTCTAAAAAAATGCAGCTGAAAGTTACATTTTTCCACTAGCCATGGCTAACTACGGTGACTATAAAAAAGCTGCGGTTTGAATTTTTCAAAAAAAAAAAAAAATTTGTAATAGCTATCACAGTTTTTTGAACAACTTTTTCTTCAACAGCTTTACAACTGTTTCTACAAACAGCTGTAGCTGCCACAAGTAGACCCAAAATGTCAATGATGAATTTGTTGCAAATTTTTTGTGGCCTCTCCAGTTTTTTTCTCAGTCCTTCAATATTAAATTTATTTTTCTCTTTTATTGGTGTGTCTTCTGCTCATTATTAGATGTCTCAGACATCAAAGCATATTTTTTATGTAATTTTTTATTTAGATTCGTACCTTGAGACACCTTCCGGCCATGTCTTTTGTCTAAATTTTGTACTGATATTCTAAATGAATGTTTATTTCTTTTTGTCCGCACTTCCTGATGGGCGATAAGATCTTCTTTCATTGTTTCTCTTGTGGTCCTTTCGGACAAATTTTTGTTTTACTTAGGCATTCATAGCCTCATCTAATTTGTAGCCATAAGCATCAACATTCACTCAAATTTTTGTTTTACTTAGGCAGTCATAGCCTCATCTGATTTGTAGCCATAATCATCAACATTCATTACATTGCAACTTTTTTTTTTTGCCAACCTGGTCAAAGGTTTGTGTTTATGTTCTAATTTTTTCCTGAATTTACCTTAAAAAAGGCGATGTCTTATCCTTGTGTGAGTAGAATATAGTTTATGATACAGAACATCTCGCGATGTACAATCTGATCATAAGATTCCAAACTATCCCAACACATTATGTAATATTTTTCATTGATTATTTGTATTTTTTACATTTTAAGTTTGAGTCAGAAAATTTGGAAGTTAAAGCTAATTAGTTGGAAAGTGGTTGAAAGTTCAGTTGGGATAAGGTTGGTTTGTCATCCTCAATCATATTCCATGCGACCTAACTCAATATTGAAAGCCAAGATGCTTATATAATTCAAATTGTATGTTTTTTGTTGATAATATCCTTCTTGTGGAGAAGACGAGAGAGAGTTCAGGAGAACTTTAAATATGGAGGTCAACTTTAGAGTCTATAGGCTTTTGTTTGAGTAGATCTAAAATTGAATATATGAATATAATTTTAGTAGTAGTAGATCTAATGAGAGATCAAGTCATTAAAAGGAGTGAATTTTTTAAATATCTCAGGTCTATTATTTAAAGTGATGGTGATATAGATGGGGATGTTACTTGTAGAATTTAAGTTGGATGGTTGAAAGCGAGGATTGTATCAGGCCTATTGTGAAAATACCACATAGACTTAAAAGAAAAATTTTATAAGATTGTAGTTAGACTTGTAATGTTTTATGGTGCAGAATGGTGGCCTATAAAAGAGAAGCATAAAATTAAGTGTTGTTGAAATGAGAATGCTCAGTGGATGAGTGATTTTACATTTAGAGACAAAAACAAAATGCAAAATGAATATATTCGTGAAAGGATTAGAGTAGCTCCAGTGGCAGGTAAGATTAGAGAGAGTCGCCTTAGATGGTTTGGTCACATTAAACGTCGGTCATATGATGACCCAGTTAGGAGAGAAGATGTTTTAAATTTGACTTGTATTATGAAGGTAGAGGTAGACCTAAAAAGACTTGGGCTTGTTATATATAAAATGATTTTAAAGAATTATAAGTAAATGAAAATATGACAATTGATAGGAAACAATAGAGAAAAATGATTCATATAGCCGATACCACTTAGTAGGATAAAGACTTATTGTTGTTATTGTTTGTTGTATGCTTGTATAATTCATTTAGCTTCAATACACAAGTCTTATGTATTTACATACATACCATTCAATCCTTGTGTATTTACATATCTAACCCTAACATCAATTTTTACGTACAAATTTCACATTTTTAAATTCAAAATGATGACGATTTTGATGTTGATATCAGCGATTTGGGTGGTATAAACCTAAAAGTTAAATTACAGGTGTTAGATATGTAAATATGCTAATTGATTGTTTCCTTCACAGGCCTGCGGAAATCGAGTCCTTCGAGGAAAACACGAATGGGAACAACATACAAAAGGACGCGTGCACAGGAAAAGATTTCTTAGTTTCAAGAAACACCTGAAGTCCTCCCTTGATCAGGAGGCAGATAATTATGGTGAGTTAAAAATCATTGATTTATCACCTCCGAAACCATCAGATTGAGACCTTTCTGCTGCATTCTGCCTTGTTTAAGGTCTCTCATATTTTAAATGTTGAACAAGCCCTAATATGTCTAATTTGTCATCGGATTCACAAATGACATAATAGAATAGAGAACTAGATATAAGGCTTGAGGTAAAAATTATCTGTATGTGCTCCGATTAATGTACTAAATATTCGTGCAAGCGATTTGAGAATGATGCGTTGTTTGAAACTAAATTTAAAATTATGTTTAATGCACCTCAAGAAACATGCAAATAATTTAAAATTCACAATTTTTGTTCTTGCATAAATCAAATTTAAGGTCTGTTTGTAAGGAATTTATTTTGTCTAATAATTATCATTACATAAAGCTACTAAGCCATCAATAATAATATAAAAATAAAGTTGAATATTATCATCATTGTCTTCTTCTTTATATACATCAGAATTGTTTACATAAAAAATATTTATATATAATGATCATGATTTTTTAATAATCATAACAAAGTATATAAATGTATAATAATCACAATACACACTATTAGCAAGTGGTATTAGAAACTCGTTCTACTGGAGCCTTATCTTTCTCTGAAAATATTTAAATGCAATGAGAGCGAACATCTCAATAGGTTACATAAAACCTTCAATTGAATTCAATGCAAAAAAATAGAATAATAGGCATGATTGCATCATAATCTTCTCATGTAGGCTAAACAAGTCTGTGGGTCATTAAAAATGTGTTTTTATACTATAAGATATTAATCAAAATAGCAACGGTGTATATAATTCATATCATGAAGCAAAACTACCATCACTCATTAATTATGCATTATGCAAGTTTGGTGCTTTATTAATCATATATGGTGTTTCTCTGCAGCAATCATAGTAAAACATATGCAATATCATACTATATCGTGACACTAAAAACTATCAGAATAATCAGTCAGGTGACATATTACACGAGTCGTCAAATCCAAACAGTTGACACTCATATCATATCATATTCACCCCTTATAACTCCCAACATATATTAAGTTTATACCATTAGTTCATTTAAAGAGAATCCTATTAGCCCACACTTCTATGCAGGCCATCATGTTTCTACCAACTTAAAACATAATAGTCAGCATTTCTCGCATACACTTATCTCACAATATCATATCATATTTAACCAGTTATAACATATTAACATCACAGTGTATATGTAAAGTTTGCATATAAAATAAAACAAGAAAATTCACAGTCTGCAACAATATGATCAAACTGTATGCACCAATTCAAAAAAAAAAAAAAAAAGCACATTAACCATGCATTTAATCATCATTGTGCTAATAATTCATAATATATAAACTTTAGTACAATTTAATAAAGTTTTGTTTAACTCAAATTAGGACTTTGACCTCAAACAAGAGAAATATTGAGTGAAATCCAATTAATTGATGCCAAAATATGTAAAATAATTAGGACAACAACATATTAAAGTTACTCTGTGAAAGTTTTCAAAATACATAGATATCTCAAAATTTGTAATTTTTGGATAGTCGAAAGTTTGTAAAATGCATAAGAAGATAAAATCACTGAAATCAAAGGTAGAGTAATAGTAGTCTACTTTGCTAGTTTACTTTTCCAACTAGGGCTCTAAACGAGCCGAGCTTGAGTGAGCTCAGGCTTGGCTCGTGTCCGATTCGTTCGAAATAGCTCGTGTTCAAAATCGGCTCGTGAACAGTGTGTTCGTGTTCAGCTCGATTTAAATATTCTTGTTCGTGTTGAATTGGCTCGTTAAATTAAAATTGAAAAAAATAGATGTAAAGTGTGGGATTCAAACCTAGATCAAATATATACAAAAGAAGACACTAGCCACATTGCCACATGAGGTGTTATTATTTAAACTTAGACATAAATATATATAATATATTATTATATAAATAATATATGTAATATATTGTTATATAAAAAGTTATATAATTTTTTTTTATTTCAAGCTGTTACCTACATGTAGGTTCATAAGATGTAATTGGATTCTAATGACACATAGGCTAATTTTTGGTTTTGTTGTTCTTCTTCAGAAGATATGGTTTTCTTTGGTATACATGTATTTTTGGGTATACTTTTCCTTTGGCATACAATTTTTTGGGTATACATGTACTTTTGGGTGTTTTCTTTATTTCGTTTTCTTTTCTTTTTTGTGTGGAGTTGTACTATAGGTAGTGGAAACCATAGGGGCTATTGGGTAGTGGAATTTGAGTCTGGACAAAAAGGAATTTGAGCCTGGACAAAAATTTTTCGCACTTAAATAACCCCCTAGGATAAAAATTTTCCATAAAGCTTATTGGGCTATTAAGTAATTTAATTTAAATTTAAAAGATGCTAGTGAGAAAATATTGTTGCAACTGAATGAGCTTGAAGAAACTAGGAATGAATCTTATGATAATGCTAGGATATATAAGGGAAAAAATGAAAGAATGGCATGATCGGAAGGTAATAAAAAGGAATTTGAGCCTGGACAGGAAGCATTACTATACAATACAAGATTGAAATTATTTCCTGGAAAACTAAAGTCTAGGTGGATAGGTTCATTCAATGTTATAAAAGTCTACCCCTATGGAGTTGTTAATATTGAAGATCCTAAAATTATAAAGATATTTAAAGTAAATGTGCATAGACTGAAACCATTTTTTGATAGTCAAAGGCCAGATTTTTAAGTGACTATAATGTTGGGTCACCCAAATTTTAAACCAAGTGTTTTGTGGGAGACAACCCTTAAATTATCTTTGTTAATGTTGCTAATCTGATTTTATGAGAAGTATTATATATAATACTTCTCATAAAATCAGATTAGCAACATTAACAAAGATAATTAAGGGTTGTCTCCCACAAAACACTTGGTTTAAAATTTGGGTGACCCAACATTATAGTCACTTAAAAATCTGGCCTTTGACTATCAAAAAATGGTTTCAGTCTATGCACATTTACTTTAAATATCTTTATAATTTTAGGATCTTCAATATTAACAACTCCATAGGGGTAGACTTTTATAACATTGAATGAACCTATCCACCTAGACTTTAGTTTTCCAGGAAATAATTTCAATCTTGTATTGTATAGTAATGCTTCCTGTCCAGGCTCAAATTCCTTTTTATTACCTTCCGATCATGCCTTTCTTTCATTTTTTTTCCTTATATATATCTGTGTGTGTGTGTGGGTGTGTGCGTGCGTGAGTGCGGGCAGGCGGTCGGGTGAGTGTATCATATATATACCTACACACACACACACACACACACACACACATATATATATAGACAAACATATAAATATACATGTAATATTTACATATACACATATATATATATCTACATGTAATATTTATATATCTATGTGTGTGTCTATATATATATATACATACGGATGTCGATACCTAAGAAGTTGACATTCGTTCCCCTCTGCTAGGGACCTAGCTTTCAGCTACACAGATCTATCTCGCGTTTCTATTTCCCTGCTTCGTCTTCGTCGACGCTGTCTTTCCAGACGACGTCCTCGTCTGTCCACGACACCTCTTTCGCAATCCTCGCGTCGTCTCAGCCTTGCAGCATAGCTACTACTCTGCTCGCAAAGTCGCAACTGTGTTCTCGTCTGCCGTTCTCGCCCCTCTTTTGTGATATTTCCTCACAGAGTGACCGACACCAACTGAGGTGATGGCCTCGGGGGTTCTTTCCTAGACCGCCGCTCGCGTTGGTGATAACCCCGCTCCCACCCCTCTTTCGAATATGTTTCCACAATGTTACCACGATACTTTTGCTCTTGGCGTTGAAACCGGATTCCTAAAAAAAAACATCCTGTAAAAACGCAAACCTGCAATCTTTCTCACAAAAGCCGAGATCTCCACCCTAGCTGCGCCCTGCCGATTGTTCTTAGTAGGTAAGTTTCTTTATGGAAACCCTAAACTTGAGCTAATTCAAAAGGATTTCAACCAAATGAAGCTGAAAGGGGTTGGAAGATTGGTAAATTGGATGGTCGGCTTATTCTTATTCAATTATTAAATGATGAAGCATACGCCCATTTGTTTGCGAGAAGACTCTTTCGAATAGACAACCAGATGATGAAGGTTTTAAAATGGACGGTGGAGGTGGACCCTTGTACCCTTGTACTGAACCTCCTACCATTCATGTTTGGCTGCGCTTCCTAGGTTTTAAGATCCACCTTTACGATCAAGAGCTCCTCTTCGCTTTAACAATGGAATACGGTAAACCTCTCAAAACTGATACGCCTACAGTGAATCTGACTCGGCCTTCTGAATCCAGAATTTTGATAGAACGAAATATTACTTTACCTTTTCCGTGAGAGATATAGATTGACACACAACATCAGAGATTTTAGCAGCAAGCAGAATTTGAACAGATACCTCTTTATTGCACTCACTGTCGTATGTTTGGACAATCTCTTTCGCAATGTTATAAGTTGCATCTGAATCTAAAACCTCCAAGTAAAAATGCTACTGGATCTGCCCCACTTCATACCTGTCCCTCTTCAGCTCTCGAGTGCATTCCACAGACTATTGAAACACTGGTTGACATGATGTCATATCTCCCTCCCACTATTAGAGACAATACAATTTCTGTTCTTCCGACTGATGTATTGGCAGAACTTTGGCATCCTACAGTCTCTATCACTGTTGAAAACAATACTGCAAGATCCTTACCTCCAAAGGATATTCTTCGGTCCGATAATAAGGATTCGGTCCGATAATAAGGATAGTATCGCAGCTCCACATCCTCAGGAAGCATCAGGTGGTGAGGAGACTTGTTTACCATCTATTCAGAATGAGAATGTTGTTACTGTTAGTCAGAAGCTGGGGGCTCATCCTCTTCTACATGCCCGACAATTTGTTGACCACATTGATCAGATGAGCCAGTCTTTGGATGAGGAATTACAATTATACACATCTAGGAAAAAAAAAAGAATAGAATGGAGGCACACCCCAGCTTGGTAATGGATGATACTTTAGTAACTTCGGGTAATGACACGACACTCAGCAATTTGTTAGCCGGCTTTGCTTCTAGAACCAGAGGCAGTGGCAGGACGAAGCTAGCTCGTCCCTAGCAACTTATTTTCTGCAAGTTTTAAATTTTAGAGTTTTATCTATGTTTTATCATTTTTAGGATGCTAGTGTCTATGTATCGTATAGATAGGGCGTCTTTATTGGGTCCTCTCTACCTTTTCAATTTCAATAAAATTAGCTCTTGG